TTGTCACTTACAATGTGCTTACACTCTTGGGTGGGCCCAGCAATCGGGGACCTGCGCGCCTGAGGAAAGTCGGCATGAAGCTGGCTGGCAAACGCCATCTCTTACTTGAACAGTGCCAAGCGGCTGAGGTACATGTTCTCGGGTTACAGGAGACGCGTCTCCAGGAGACAGCGACGCTCCCCGATGCCCGTTATCTGCTTTTACATTCTGCCGCCGCAGAAGCAGGACATTTCGGATGTGCGGTGTGGATAAGCAAAACTATTCCCTATGCGCACGTCGGAGGCCGGCCACTGTTTTTCGAAGCCACAAGCGCTGTGCAGTCGTTGCATTCTCGCCGCGACACATGCTCGTTACTGTCAGTGCTCCATATTTTCGTTGTGCCTTCTTGGTCGCTCATGCACCGACAGATCCTCAGGGTAGACTGCAGTCCGCCAAGGCCTTTTGGCAGCAGCGGGATACTGAGCTTAAACGCCTACCAGCCCACATGCCTGTTGTCTTGCTTGCCGATGCCAACAGCCGGGTCGGAGACCTTCCTAGCCTTGCTGTCGGCGAGGTGGGCAGAAACCGAAACAGTTGCGGCTCAATTTTCATGACTTTCTCCTGCGACACAGCCTATTTTTGCCCAGCACTTTTCATGCCTATCAAGCTGGCGAGACATGGACGTGGAGCTCTGCAACGGGCGACCGCCGTCGCCTTGATTACATTGCGCTGCCTCAAGCGTGGGCTGAGTTCAGTGTTCAATCAGAAACGTGGTACTCTTTTGAAGCTATGCAAAAGAGGGACGATCACGTACCAACCGCTGTCCGGTGCACTTTCCAGCGTGTCGACCATGAGGGCTCCGCTGCCACTTTTCGAAGACAGGCCTGCCGTCCGAACGATTTGGACCCCAAGCTTGACAAGGAGGCTTTCCGTCAAGCCCTAAGCCAGCGCCATGTTCCTGACTGGAGCTTGAGTGTGGACACGCACTTTGATGCTTTCGTGCAGTCCTGGACTGCTGCAGGCAAGGCGGCAAGCGCAACCGAGCCCGTTCCCCCGCGACAAAGCTTTCTCACGCAAGACACCATGCAGCTCGTTGCTGCGCGCAAGGCGCTGCGTCGCTACATGAGGCTGAGCTCAGTCGGCGGTACAAACTAGTGGGCTTTGCTTGTTTCATCATGCATACTAGGGGCATGGTTTTCGCTGCCCAGGCACAGCAGCGCGCAGCCGAATGGCTAAAAGATGTTGAGATCAGCATTGCTCGCGCGTGGGCATCCCTCAACTATGCTTGCAGGCTTTTGCGCGGTGCCGTCAAGGTTGACCGCAATAAGTACCTTGACCGTTTGGTCCAGGAGGTCACAGTTGCGGACCTCAGCCATCCCAGACAGCTGTTCCAGAGGGTCCGCAAGGCTTTTCCCAAGGCAGCTGCAGCCCGGCGCAGCACTTTTACCGCGCTGCCAGCGGTCGAGTGTGCCGATGGTGCCCTTGCAGTAACTGCGGAGGGCAGAGCGGAGCGCTGGCGTGAACACTTCTCTGAGCAAGAATGTGGATCCCCGGTTGATGCCCAGGGCTACCTGCGCCTCCTGGCCCAGAAGGATGCAGCCAGTCGGACACAAGACGTTCGGTTCGACCCTGCTATGCTCCCAAGCCTTTCATCGTTGGAGTCCATCATTCTCGGGCTACGTCGTGCCAAGGCAGCAGGCCCGGACGGCATCACCGCGGAGCTGCTTAAACTTTCTCCCGCACTGGCAGCCCGACACCTCGTCGCCCTTCACCTCAAGAGTGTGTTGGCGGTACAAGAGCCTGTCGAATATAAAGGGGGAGCACTGATGACCCTAGTCAAGAAGGCGGCAGCGATGTTTCGCTGCGACCGCTACCGAAGCATTTTGCTCTCTGGCGTCACTGGCAAGGTGTTCCACAAAAGCCTCCGCGACCAGGTTACTCCATCCTTTCTTGGGGTTAGTCCTGACCTTCACGGTGGAGTCAGAGGAGGTATAGGGGTTGATACCATCTCCCTCTCCGTCAAGTGTTTCCAGGCACACGCCAAAAGCACAGGCCAGCTTGCAGCCCTCGTGTTCTACGACGTACGTGCCGCGTACTACCAGGTATTACGCGAGACGCTCACGGGCGACTGCCTGGATGATGGAGTGCTGCTTCGTTTG